AACTTCAATGGGTCTCCGTGTTATTTATAAAATGTTGGAAGCTGTCCATGTAATATTGTCAAAACTCAAGAAATGTCCATGATTTTTCCCCCTTTTTTAATTAAACATTAATTTATTATTATAATATCTTAAAAACTTGAGTATTTATTAGTTAGGTGGGTTTTTTGGTAACCAAAAAAAAATGTATATGAGTGTTTTTTTGTGTATATCTATATGTGGGGAATTGGATATTTGGTAATTAAATTTGTAATAATATTGTGTCATTTAGGGTTGAATAGAGATAATAGTGATAAATTCATAAATTTTATAAATGAGTAAGATTTGATTGATTTTATTTATGGCTTAAAGATTGTGAATTTAATTGTATTCTATTAGCATTTTTTTTTTGCTTGAGGTATTTATTACATGGGGATAGGGTGGATTAGAAATATAATGGTTGAGTTTTTAATTATGTTGTGTTATTGGATTGAGTGGTAATAAAAGTGATAAATTCATGAATTTTATAAATGAGTAAGATTTTATTTATTGCTTAAAAATTAGAACTTTTAATGGGATTATGTTAGTATTTTTTTTCCTAGAGAAATTTGTATATATTGTTTTTGAGAGTTTTTATATATTTTTATGACAATGTCATTAATATGAAAAATATGACCGACAATATATTTTGAGTCATTTTAAAAAAAGAATTTGTATGAATATTTTTGAGTCATTTCTTTTTAATTTGGGTAATTATTTAAGATTTTATTTATTTGTTGTATAGTGTTTTCAGACACAGGCAATGACATGTTTATCTATAAAATAAAATAGCTAGATTTCTTTATCTTTAACTTTTTGCAGCTCAGATCGCTTGACGATTATTGATCTGACGGTTCTCATGCCAACTTTTTTCAAGACTCCTATTGTTCATCTAACTCTCTTTATATCTATCTTATATTTTCTCTCTCTCTCTCTCACATATTATTATCTTATTTTTTTTTGTTTTTTTTAAGTGTTATTTTTTTATTATTTACTCCATAAAACACATGAAACTACATATTATGCAATATTTATTCCATAAAATTAATTTAAAATTTTATATATCTGGCAACATATATTTTGTCACTTGGTTCTTAATTTGTAAATAACACTTAAAGTAAATAAAAAATAGCACTTCACGATTTGATGACTTTTTTATCTGAGTTTCACATCGTTGCCTGAAAATTAGGTCTTAATTGATTCGGGGCCTAAATTTTTCTAAAATTCTCATTGATAATGGTTTTTATATAAATTATGTTTTTAGTTTTTTTTAATGTTTGATGTATTTGTTATAATTTTGGTACTAAATTTTTTTGAACTATCAATTTTTCAAAATGTTTTGTCAACTTTTTAATTTACTTTCACTTATTTTTATGTGAACCAGAGATTTTTGAGTTTAACAAGCGGAGGTGAGCGATTCTCTTAAAAAAAAAAAGTGGGGGTGAACAATTGGTTTGATTTAAGTATGTGTGGTTGAATCTTGACCAAAATAAAATTTATCAAATGATATAGTAAGAAAGAATACGCTATGGTGTGAAAAATCTGTATTTAAATTTTATGGGTTAAAATACAAATTTTTAAGTTTATATACAACAAAAAAAATTATTATTTTGGATCAATTTCATGTTGGTATAATCAACAACAAATAATATTCAACACAAAATGAACCTTAAATTATAAATTAATATATATTTTTATCAAAAATTGAGATTTAATTTTGTCCAATTTAAATTCAACTTAGTCGAATTAATATCAAATTGATTTTTATTGTTATCAAATTAATATTAAAATTCATTTAATCAATTTATTTTGGGTACTAAATTATATCAATTTTTTGGGTACTAAATCAAATCTTATATTATTTTATTAAAATTTTAATTTTTTTGGGTACTAAAGTTGGAGAAAGGAAAATATAAAAATAATAATTTTTTTTTAGGATAAAGTCATCACTTTTCGTTAACAATATTGAAGGAATGGAGACATAGGAGGCTTCTGTGTAATAAATATTAAACTACAGGGATCTCCATGTTATTTATAAAATATTTGGGGGTGTCCGCATAATATTGTCAAAACTTAGGGGAAGTCCGTATTTTTTACTCTATTTTTTAATTAGATATTAATTTATTATTATTTTATCATAAAAACTTGAATTATTGTATTTCTAATAAAAACAATTATTGATTAGGAATGTTTGTTAGTAGTCAAAAAATAAATGTGTGAGATTATGTTTATGTATATATTTATATGTTGAGGATTGAAAATTTGGTAATTAAATTTATAATTTTATTGTGTCAGTTGGGGTTGAATGGAGATACTGGTGATACATTAATGAGTTTTATAAATAAGTAAGATTTGGTTGAATTTATTTATCGCTTAAAAATTGTGAATTTAATTACATTATGTTAGTATTTTTTTTTTTTTTTTTGCTTGAGATATTTATTACATGGGAATAAGGTGGATTGAAAATATGGTGATTGTGTTTAAAATTATATTCTGTTATTGAATTGAGTGGTGATAAAAGTGATAAATTCATGAGTCTTATAAATGAGTAAAATTTTGTTTATTACTTAAAAATTGTAAATTTCAATGGATTATGTTAGTATTTGTTTTTTTTTTCGGAGGCATTTGTATATTTAGTATTGTTTCGAAGAGTTTTATATATTTTTTTGACAGTTCTATTAATTTGGAGGATATGTCAGAAATATATTTCAATTCATTTTAAAAGAAGAATTGATATGAAAAATTTTAGACCATTCTTTTTGAATTTGGACAATTGTGTAAGAATTTTTTGTTTGTTATATAGTGCTTTCAGGCACGAGTAATGACTAGTTCTCTAATATGATGTCTCAATCTTATCTTAGAAGTTATGAGGGTACTTATTTTAATTATGAGATAAAAAAATTGGGGACCAATGTAATTTATCCAATAACATTTTTTTCTCTCCAAAACAGTCTCTCTCTCTCTCTGTCTCTCTCTCTTTGTGGTAACCTTGTCTTCATCCTCCATGTTGATCTTGCGATTGCTAAACTGATAGTTACATACAAGTGCAAAGGCATCGTCATACTCTATAGTAAATGATGTGGAGCCCATCTTTCTTGCATTATTGCCTTGAAATGGGGGCTGCCCAATCTAGGCTTAGCTCCTACCTAATGTCCATACCCCCGTTTTGACTATTAATTTATTATAACTATTAAATTAATTATAAGTCTCATCAAATTTAAGAATTTAATATTAATTCAATTGTTACAACGAAATTGTATTATTAGATTAATAAATTATGTCAAATTTTTAGATTCAAATAATATTTCTCGTAACAAATTTTGATAGACATAAATGTTAATTAATATAAATATTGAAACTAATAAAAAAAAATGAGGGTATTTCTATATAGTTATTAAATATTATAGGGGCTTTCATTATAATTTTCCAAATTTGTTTTGGTATAGTGAGAAAGGTTGACCCCATTGATGTCTCGTAGCAACACGATATGTCACATCCTTTTAATTACCAGGACGTGTTCAAGTAACACCTTGAGAGTTTCCATTGGCGGTGTTCCCATTGAATGCCAGAGAAACTCATGCTGGAGTCCATGGGATAACGACTACTACGCCCACGAAATACGGGCGGTGTTAGATTTGTGCGGTGGAAATGTACGTCGTAGCGGAATATAATATTTACCTTTTGCTATACCGTTTTAGTCTTAAAATCTTGTGATTTCAAATTACGAGTCTTTGATTAACCAAGCACTCAAAAGAACAAAATAAACACCCTCGTTTATACTTTATGAAGGTGTGAGAAAAGAGTTTATAGTTTGGTATACATCCGTCTTTTGATAGTAATCACAACCCTTTATTTATAGACAAGTCACGGTCCATAATTCTTATTTTTTGGATAATATAACCTTATAAATTTCTTTTCATCAAGAAATCTGTAACTGAGATGATAACCATGATCTTATAATAGATAGATTGACTTAATCTCAATTATTAGCCTTTGACTCAAAAATTATCTTTATAATTATAAAGTGATTATTTTCGAAAAAAACTAATGTGACATGTGGACCACTTCAAATCTCCTAATGGAACCGTGCTAATCAAATAAAAAATTAGGCCCATTGTTCACAAAATGTAAGGATCCACGTAACATGATTTCAGTAAGAACATCGAAACAAGTAGCGGGTATTTTAGTCATTTCATAGTACTTATTCAAAAGAATGTGTAGATCAAGCTGCAGCCTGTGAAGCACAGATTCAAATCAAAGCACACAAAAGCACTTTCCAACAGTTTTCCTTTTTCAACGCACCGAAGGAGGGAAAAAAGGGCCAGAACTACAGCTTCAATTAACCTCTAAACCTTCCCACGCATTGTGGATAGTTCAAGTCTTCAATTTCGTATTGGAGTTTAATAATTGACTTTTATGTTAGTTTAGTAAGGATCGTTGTTGGGAGGTGTAATTGTCGCAATCGATACTACTAGTGATGGTCTTTCAACTCTATTATTTGTGTCCACCCTTTTTTTAATAACAAAAAAAATAAAGAAAATAATTATCTGGAAACCAAGGGAAAGTCTACCATACCAAAAAAAATCGGTACCAAACTTTATTATTTTTAATATTACAGTATTTTAGAATCAATCATGACTTTATAAGTTGTAATTTATATATCAAAAAATTATAATTTTCGATATATGGTAGTGTAATCTTTTCCCATTAACCAAATAAAAAAAACAAGAATAAATTTAAGGTAATGGTTAATTGGGAGCCAAAATGCCCAGTTGTCCACCATTATTAGGTGGACACAGGTCGCTTTCTCAGTTTATAATATTTAATTTCAAACCACAGCTTGCTTACACCTATTTCTCTCAAACTCTTTCATTTACCAAGCTTCCCATACTTGTGTATAAGTATAGGAGAGTGAAATCAGATTTAGCATTTACTCACCTTCCAACATCTCTCTCTCTCTCTCTCTCCAAAGAGTTGAAGGAAAAATGGGTTTTCTTGACAATCTCTCAGACATGTTTTCAGATATCACCATAACGAAGAGGAAACGCAAACCCATGCAGGTGGAGATACTCATCCTCACTCACTTCATGTTCCAGCTTCCTTTCTGTTCTTTGTTTATTTGTTTGCCTGCTTAGCTAAAGTTACTATGGCAAAGAGGAAACTACAAAACTCCCTCTCTCTCTCTCTCTCTCTGTTGTTTGTGGTTTGTTATTGATTTTTTTCGTTATTTCTCCATTTCTAATTGGGTTATGCTTGCCTTCTTTCCAGACAGTTGAAATCAAGGTGAAAATGGATTGTGATGGCTGTGTAAGGAAAGTCAGAAATTCTGTTACCTCCATGAAAGGTTCAAATCTCTTGCTCTCTCTCTCTCTCTCTCTCACACACACACACACACACACAAACAAACAAACACACCCATATTAAGCTCTGTGCATACATGTAAAGGGAAGCAACCGTCTATATGTGCAAATTTGTGGTTGTCTCAAGGGCATAAGCAACAAAAAAGAAACAAGAATGACACATTTCTCCATGCTTAGATTCGTATTGCCAGAAAAGTCTGCACCTTTACAATCTGAACTTGGGAACCCAGACAAACCTTTTACATTAGCTCAATAAATGCAAGCCACAACAAACCAAACGAGCCTTAATGTAACCAACTTGAATATTTATTGGGTAGTTTGCATGTTTAATACAGTCCTTATCACTCACCATTACATACATCAACAACCATATGACTTCTTTCCCAATACTAGTCTTCTCTCAGTGTATCTGATTATTAGTCTATAGTGAGGATAATTTTGTTGTTTAATCTTAATATTAGATATCGTTCGACACCTCTTTTTAAGCACTTTGTTATTTTTATTTTTTTTATGAACACACACAAAGTAATACATGCAATTTACTTTCTAAAGTCAGTTACGAGATTCATATAGGTCACTTTTGCTAAATATTAACTTTTTACTAAGATAAAAGTGCTTAAAGAACGTTACTAAATGATATATTGGTTTTTTTTTGATGATTTATACCTTCTTCTTTGGTTTTAATACAGGTGTGAAATCAGTGGATGTAAATCAAAAACAAAGCAAGGTAACAGTTAGTGGTTATGTTGAGCCAAAGAAGGTGTTGAACAAAGTGAAGAGCACTGGAAAGAGAGCTGAGTTTTGGCCTTATGTCCAATACAATCTGGTCTCTTACCCTTATGCACCTCAAGCCTATGACAAGAAGGCACCCTCTGGTTATGTGAAAAACGTCGTTCAAGCACTTCCCAATCCAAACGCACCCGAAGAGAGGCTCAGTATACTTTTTAGCGACGAAAACCCGAATGCATGTACAATTATGTAAGGAAATTTGAGGTTTGTGTGTTAGAAATTATGGACATGTTTGGTTGGAGATGAAGGTGGACTAGAATGAGTTAATGGCAGCTTGTTGTACTTTGTCGTAGGAGCCTGGAAGGCAAATTTTGTTTGTGCTTGGCTGTAGAGAATCTGCTTGAAATATGATATATTTATTAGTAGAACCTGTCTCTGTATGTATAACTCTAGTAAATTCATTTTGTGCAGAATCCAATTTAGGGGTTGAACTAAGAATAATGACGGGGTTTTGTATCTAAAATTCTAAAAAGGGGATATGATTGTTTATCACTTGCGTCTTTGAGACCTTACTATTGGTGGACTTATGATAATGGGTGCAACTTTTAGGACAGAGCTTTGCTTACTTTCTATAAATTCTTTAAACAGTACTATATGAGTGTTACAATTCTCAAACATAATTGTTTTGGGAGCAATGAATAGAACTGAGGTGAGGACCAGACCTTTTGGGTTTGGTTTATTCGTTCGCAAAGAGTTCAGACTCAACTCGAGCTTGTGATAAACTCAATCTTATCTCGGCACGTCTCGTCTGTTAAACAAACTGAGCTCGAATTTGTGTTCAAGCTTAAATTTGAGTTTAGGATCATGTTCAATATCAAATTAGGCTTGTTTAATTTTTGCATACAATATATAAAATACGTATATATCTTAAAGAGCAAAACAAGTCATTGCTCTAGTTAGGATGGTTTATTAAACAGGCATTAAAATTGAGCTTGAGTTCGATTGGTTCGATAAATGAACAAATCTAAATAAGCTCCTATCTGTGTAGATCCATAGCCATTAATAATCAAATAGGTTCATTTACAGCCCTAATGACTCTCTGAATTTATAAGGAAAGCATAAGGGAAAACAGTGAGCTTCTATTATCATCATCGCATCTTACTTCCTACAAATCAGGGATTATGGAGGAAAATTGCAAGAGAAAGTCAAAGTTTTCTTTATTTTTTAAATATCAATAATTGGCCCTAGAGCATGATGCCTAATATTTACCCAAAAATAACAACTTCAAGACAAAATGATGTTACAATCAAGCTAACCATCAAAGGGACATGGTAAGGTGAGCATAGCCAAGTCTTGTCCCCAAAAGCAATGAAATTGCCAAAGAAAAAAAATTAAAAAAAATTATTTTTTCCCAATAGTTTATGTGGCACAAAGAACAATGCTACTTGGATCTATTTTGTTAATCTAATCATTCAGATTAACAATGGGTCCAGTATTTGATAAGATCCCTAACAAATTATGTCAGCAAATTAAATTCAAAAAACATTAATTGTGGTACATATTTTGAGAATAATTTTGAAGAGGATAACTTTTAGATTAAATAAACTATTGGGGTCTTGGAAGAGAAGCTTCTTTATGCATAAAGGAGAAACTTTTTTTGTAACCTTTAACAATCTTTTAGTAATTTAATTGATTTATTTAATCAATCCCACCAATTATGAAATCTAATGCGGCACTATCACTTTAATAAACATTCCTTTAAGCTTAAAGTTGATTAGATGAAGCCAAACTTTTGGAAAAATGATAACTTTTATTAATCTTATGAATGTAAATAAATCAACTTCATTGGATTAATTATTCTTGAGCAGCATAATGCTTGATCTGCTAGTGCAAGGTCAATCTTGTGATAGAAAGATTATTACCTTGATCATGAGTCATATGAAAAACATCCCATGATCGATTATAACAATAGAGGGCACGATATTTCACGAATCACATAGTTATAATGTTATTCACACGATTTTTTTCTCCAATTTTCTCTCCTCAACTCAACTGGACCTAATTTATATTAATGGGTTTTGATAAATTCTATTAACATCTAATAAAAAAAATAGCATTAGAGTGACACAGAGAGTCTGGACGTGACAGTATACATATGAGTGTGCATAAGTTTAACAAGTCAACTGGGTCAACATACTTGGAACAATTTATAACTTCATAGACATCTACAAACATTATATTATTTCTAAATTTCTGATCATATAATGTGATATACAAATAGAGGTCGGTCCTTACCCTATCGGGTCTTTGCCACGATACACAATATCTGGTGGAGACCCTCTTTTCTGCCAAGAACACTATATACTGACAACAAAATTTGGTTGGGTAACTCAAAAAATGTGTAAAAATACTATTAAAAAATTAATTTATCGAACTATTTCATTTGTATAGTTAAGTTAGTAATGAATTCTAATATGATATAAGATCGTTTGTCAATTCAACAATCATAATAAGATAGATAAATCATATCTCAACAATATTATTGAAAACCGCTGATGCAAACATTCTACCTGTATAGCCTTTGAAGATAGCTAGGTTAACACTGTGAAGTTGCCTCTGTCTCTCTCTCACATGTCATATGCACAGAGCTAGGCCCTTGTTCAAACATGGCAATCAGGAGAACAAAAGACACGAAAAACTTTTTATCACAGAAGCATACTGTAACAAATAATTGGAGGTTCCCAAAAACATGAAGATTTTTCATGAATATGGTAACAAGTATCTCTTATCCATATCCCCTAGTCAAAGTGTGCGTATCTGGGAAGATCATACAGATTTACACACAACATTCTGACGTTTGCCTCTATCTTGTTGGGTTTGATTCACTCTGCTTTTCAATATTTGTTTGTTTTGTTAATCTTAGCGTAAAGAGAGAAAATGACATATCCTATAAGTAGCTCCTTTTTTTTTTTGGTTGGAAACAAGGTAAAAAGGCTTGAGGAGGTAATTGGGTGGAACCACTCCTTGGGCATGACCATATATATATATCTATATATATATATTAGTCCAAACCCAGTAGGGAAGTCGATCATTGGAGTATAGACGGCAGAAAATCGCAAACGCACTCAAAAACTGACTCGAGTCAGAGAGCCAGCCGTATAATGCAGCAAATACAGCAAAATAGTTTGACATTTAAATTTTAAAATATAAATAAAATGACTTTTATTTTTTACTTTAAATTTTACTTTAAAATTAATTTAACGACTAATATTAACGCTTTAAATTTAATTGAAAAAATAGACCCCTAAAGGTGTGTTTGAAATGACTTTTTAAAAGTACTTTTAAGAATTATTTTTTATAAGTACTTTAAAAAAAAAATAGTGGTTGAAATCGCTCACCAATACTTCTACCACTATCACCATCACCACCACTACCTCTACTATCATCGTCGCCACCACCACCACCACTACCCTCGCCACCATCGCCGCCTCCCTACCTCCACTGCCACTGTCGCCGACATCACTATCGCCACTGCTGTCACCATCACTGCCACCATGGTCATTGCTCTCTATCATAACCAACACCGTCTCCTACCATTATCACTATCGCCCCACCACCTCTTACCTTCTCTACAACCGATGTTTAAATTCATTTATCTCTCTTTTATATTTGTGATTTGATTTTACATATGAATACAAATATGTTTATTATTTTGTGCCTTCGGGAATAGACAATAACAATATAAGGCCTCAAATTTAGAGGTCAATAATAAAATACAAATTAAATATTAAAATCCATTACTATATAGCCTACCAAAAAAACAAAACTCTTGAAAGAGTAAGTCAACCAAAAAAAAAATTTAAAATTTAGGTCCAAAAGTTTAGCCCACCTCAAATAATTCCAAGAGATATCATCAATCTCTTTGTCCGATAAAAAAAATTATAATAAGCATCTTTCTCTAATCCAAAAATAAAATAAAATCAAACACATTCTCTACTTTTCTTAGACTCATATTTTTTTTCTAATTCAAACACAAAACACCAGCCAAATCCTTCATTCTCATAATTATTATTTTTTATAAGGTTTGTACTTGTAACAAAAAAATTAGGCGAAAGTTGAATATATAAACAAGTAAAATATCATAAAAAATTAAAAGATAATGAAATAAGCCAACATAAACATAATAATCAACATGTACGTAATAAAGTCAATAATGTAATACCACAATTTTGATAAATAATATACAAGTATGAATGAAGAAATAAATTATATTCCTATAAATATCTATGATCAAAAGTCATACTATCAATCAAAAAAAAAATATGTTAGCAAAATTTGGATAAAAAAAATTCAATTAGCAATTTAAGATCAGAAAAAAAAAATTAAATAAAAAATTTATATTATTACTAAAAAACAATAAAAGCCTCATTAACTCTTGTCGCTTTAGACATCATAAGCTCTTGAGCCACTCCTGTCCTGCACCACAAAATTGTCAATAGAATCAGCGGGAGTCTCCGTAACATGAAACCCTACTTATTAACCTTATGAAAGTCAAGGAAGACGCTAAACGAGGCACTGACTAATAACATGACATTAGCGCAAGATATAAAGGCTAAACCGAGACTAGGATGCTAATATCTTACTATTATTCGATTCATAAATTGATGATGAGAATAAGAGTGCCTATACATACATGCATGACTTGATTAAATTTTGAAATGATTAAAAAAAAACAACTACATCTTAAAATTACTTTGGCATCCGACCGTCATTGTGTTGGGACAAAGTTTTTGTAAGTTGAATTGAATTAAGTTTAGTTGAGTGCAAGTGTATCATGTCCAAATGAGTTTAATCATTCCCTAGAGCTAGAGGACCCAATACTCGGATCTAACTTTTTTTCAAACAGTCTATTCTAAAAATGAAAAAAAGAAAGAAAAATTTTCAAACGCCCAAGGTTTTTGGATGAAATCTCCAAACATTTGGCACCAGAATAATGTTTGATGACACCAAAATCATATTTTCTTTCAACTTTAAGCGATCGACTCCAATTGTAATCAAGTTGATGAAAATTGAAGCACACATCTCGTTTGTGTTATTTTTTCACTTACTACCTCGATTTGGCTTGGATTAGGATTCACTTCACGTAATATCATAGAATCTATACTTTTTCGTAGAATATCTTGTTAAATTCAGAATAGCTGATCATGAAATAATTGTGAAACTTGCATACTGAACTTGAAGTATGATCACATT